AAAGATCGTGGGAAAGCCGTTCATGTGTTCGCCTGAGAGGGGCTGTCAGACAACCCTTTACTGTGCGCTCGAGGAGTCATTGGACAGAGAATCAGGATTTTACTATTCGTAAGACTTATTATAATACAGTTATAATATATTCATTTTTAAAATTATTTTTGTTGTTATGTTTTTATGACAGCAATTGTTTACTCGTGGATAACATGTATGCGAACGCGACGGACGATAAAAGTGCGGAACTGTTGTGGCAATTGAGCGCAGATTTGGTTCAATTGGAGAACATATATAAATTGTGAAATGTACCAGAGTCAAAATAATGAGTTATTTGATTGCATGCTTACATTCACTTATTATATGTTAAATTATAGACTGTATGATATGTGTATTAAACAAAACTATATTTGCTTAAAATGATAAATTTTATTGATGAACGTAAAGTTATAACTAAAACATTTTGAAAAGTTTAAATAAAAGTCGTTTAAAAAAGTTTATTTAAGGCTTCAACTCATAGACACCGAAGAATAGCGGACCCAAAAAGAATTCAAACTTCTTGGAGTGGTTCACTGATAACTGATCATAATCGGTCACCGCGTAGGCCGTCTCACCAATAGTCACCTCATAAGCCAGGTATGAATCGCTGACGATCCTCGAGACCTGAGCGTAACAGTTGTTGTTCACATAACGTCCCATATCTTGCTCCTCTAAACGTAAGCAACTCTCTGTCTGGAAATCTTTGCTCACATCCATGAATATCTTGATAATTTTCTCGGCGTTCTCGTCCACCTCGGTTATATTCATGTTGTAGTATTGAATGACTCTATATTTTGATTCTCTAGCTTGGTTAATTCGCTCCAAAATATGCTTACCCTAATTAAGCAATATTAAATGTGATTAATTGTTTTAACATATTAATTTATGAACAATAATTTAATGTATTATCGATTGTTAGAAATATAGTTATAAAATAAATAAGTTTTATAATTACGGCGGTAGTTATGTCGGCGTTTTTAGTGGTTATGGGTGTCGACAGCACTGCTTGAAAAGCAATACACACAATGATTGTCTGAAAATACATAATTCTGTTGTCAAAATGGTTTAGTAGTAGTTATTCTCAATTAACTAATTATTAAACTGATGATCTTTAATGAATGTTCACCTGTCTATTTATACCAAATATTATCAATAAATAATCGATTGGAAAATAATGTTGTAATCAAATTCGTAGGAATTATATTTCTATCAAAAATATGAAAGCATTCATATTTCAAGAAATCCAACACATTAGCGATTAGTTATGTTTTATCATTATAAACTTTTTATTCTACTAACGAGTGGGAATAAATTGTATCAATTTTGATGTGCAAAATGATATAAAAACAATTATATTTAAATGTGTAGTACTATATTTCTAATAAGTAATCTTTATTCTGTCTTGCACAATTAATGACAAATATATTTGTTTAACAATTTATCTATTACAATTAATTTTAAAAATTAATATAATACTCTGCTTATTATATAGATTATATTTTTATCAACATAGACTAACTTGTATTAGTCTTACGACAATCAGTTGTATTAATAACCGTTATTCACTTGTCGGTACAAATTATTGATAATGGAAAGACCTTGATTAATAAACAATTATAAAAGATTCCTATTACTAGTATGTGATGTAATATTTTTAATTTAAATTTAATTTAATGATTTAATTTGTATACGATAAATTATAAATTATAATTAGGATACATACATTATTTAACTACTTGTATTTATTAATTGAAAATTCAATAT